CCCCAAAACCCCAAAACCCCAAAACCCCAAAACCCCGTATAGAACAAGTTTTAAGTTAATTGAAATTATGAAAATATAGGTTAAATTTGTTTTATTTTAATTAAATTATTTGGAACTGTGCAATTAGTGGAAACTATTTGATGCATAATTTAAACCAAATCAATATAAAATATAATAGCTTTTTTAGTTTAAGATTAAAAGCTAAATTTGTCAAGGCGATATTAGCTATCAGAATGTCTCTTTAATTATCAGTGTGTCTAATTTGCTTAGCATAATTAAAACTCATAATTTCATCATTCATCTCTACAAATGAAACAAGCAGAAAAGGAAGACGTTGCTCAACAAGAGGAAGAGGAAGTTGAACTCGATGGACCTACTCCAATTAAGGCTCTTGAGGAAAAAGGTATCAACGCCGGTGACATAAAAAAGCTTGAAGAGGCTGGTTATCATACAGTAGAGGCTGTTGCCTTTACACCAAAGAAGATGCTCATCAATGTCAAAGGTCTTAGTGAGGCTAAGGTTGATAAGATAGTCGAAGCTGCTTAGAAGATAGTCAATTTAGGATTTCAAACGGCATCTACTTACTTTGAAAAAAGACAAAGTATGGTTCACTTGACAAGTGGTTCGTCCTCTCTAGACCAGCTACTAGGTGGAGGAATTGAAACAGGATCAATAACTGAAATATTTGGAGAGTTCAGAACTGGTAAAACTCAAATCTGTCATACCCTATGTGTCACATGCTAGTTGCCTATTAGCAAAGGAGGAGGTGAAGGAATGGCAATGTATGTTGATACAGAAGGTACTTTTAGGCCTGAAAGACTCATTCCTATTGCCAAAAGGTTCGGTCTAGATGAGTAGCAAGTGCTCGACAATGTGGCATATGCAAGAGCACATAACACTGATCAATAGAACAAGTTACTGATTCAGGCTGCTGCTTTAATGGCTGAAAACAGATTCGCTCTGCTCGTAATTGACAGTGCTACTGCTCTTTACAGAACTGATTACAGTGGAAGAGGTGAGCTTTCTGCTAGACAGATGCATCTTGCAAAGTTCCTTAGAACTCTCCAAAGAATAGCAGATGAGTTTGGAGTGGCAGTGGTAATTACTAACTAGGTGGTGGCTCAAGTCGATGGTTCTGCTATGTTTGCAGCAGATTCCAAAAAGCCAATCGGAGGCCATATTATTGCTCATGCTTCATGCACCAGACTTTCACTCAGAAAGGGAAGAAACGAGAGCAGAGTCTGCAAGATATATGACTCCCCCTGTTTGCCAGAAGCTGAGGCCATGTATGCTATTACCAATGATGGTATCGATGATTATAAGGACTGATAAAATGCAATAGATTGGACGAATTCTAATTAATTATTTTAACAAGATAAATTAAATTTGTTAATTCAGCGTTTCTTATTCTTATATCTCATTTGTTATTTAGTCCCTGCTGAATGTGCAGCACCTCCTTCACTGAGATGTTGATTCTATCTTTAATTATCGGGATATGCAGTTTTATCTTATGGGATTATTTCGATCTTTTAAGCTAGGTACTTCAACTCCTACATCAATTCGTCCATCCTTGAAATTATCTGCTGATCGTTCTCAGGATTCTAATTACTCAACACAGATTACCTATGTGAAGATTAATTTTATGAGTAAATTAGACTCAGTGCCTCTGATGGGCTCTCCCCAGTGTTGTTATTCAGTGTAGTCTAAATTACTTTTCGCAATTTATAGTTTTCAATGGCTAGTTAAAGTCCTTTGGACTCTGACAGATAGAAGTGCTTTTAGATATCTTTGCATTTCTTGCAGTGATTGCATTAATCTAAAGTTATTAATCTTTTTTCCATTACTATGAAAATGTTAAAATACAAAAATTTAAATTTTACTTTTTTGCTTTAATGGCTCTAACAGATCATCATCATTAAATTTAAGCACCTTTTGAGCCGAGGAGTCGATTGAAATCAAATCATGTTCATCATGCTAGTGGTCTTGATAAAGATACTATTAGGGAGAAGCGATTTCAACAGAAGATACCTATGTGTGACCCTTCCTAGCTGCTTAGAGATCGATTGTTCTTTGATCATTTATTAAATCGTATCTTTATTTCAATTAGTTCATTGATGTGCTATTTTCTATCTTTGACTCCTCTCCAATGGGCTCAAGGTTCTTGTCATTCATAAGCACATTTTAGATGTTAATCTCCTAGGACATTGCAAATTAAGAATTTTTCTTTAATGTTGGCTAACTCTTAGAGCTACCTCTCTAGGTAGATTTGATACTCATTGAACTTTAAGTCTTTGTAATTGCAGTGCTTGCTCTTGATTGATAGGAAGATGGAGTAAATTTCTTAGACAAAAGCTTAGGCTTCTGAGCCTAGTGTTAAATCTGCTGATTGATATTCTATTCATCCTTCTTCCCAAGGTCTATGCTAGAGTTTCTTCCAGTACTACCCTTCCTTTTCTTTATTGCCATTAATTTTTGAGAAAATTTTTTCATGACTATTAATAGTCAAACTAAGATATTTAACTTACATTTTTAAGGAATTTCAACTGTGAACACATTAAACTTAACGAACTTGCCTTTGATCTCCTCAGATTCATCTTCATTTGTTCCATCCTATGAATCAAGTTCTAACTCTCCTTTTTCCTTGAGATCCTAAATATTTCTTAGCAAGCCAAGTGCTAATTTCCTGTGTAACTTTATTGTCAAGCCTGGATTCTCTCTCAAGTCTATATTAGTCAGTGATCCATTTGACTTCATTAGTTTTACAAATTCTTCAACCCAGTGTGGGCTAATTTTGTTATTCCTGAGATCAATACTTCTTAGGTACAAGTCATTTCTTAAGGCTAGGATAAGTTCACTTGCCAAAATATCAGAGAAATTATTATGACTTAGAATAAGCTATTTTAATCCATTTTTATATTCATCATTAGGGGGTAACTCACCTCTAAGCGAGTATGTCCATACTACTTGATCTCTTCTTTCTGACTACGAAGATACTATTTTCGCCATTAGATAGCCAGTATCGTCTTCAAGTCCATTGCATGAAAAATTAACCGTTTCAATGCTAGTATTTTAGCACAATGCAGGCATTATGGCCTCAATCATAGGAATATCAAGCAGGCAAAAGTTAAAAACCACTTCTTTTAATACTTTATTCTTAATGATTGATTCACTCAGTATTCTCATTGAATCTATTGAAAGCCTCAAACCGCAAAATGCTATCTTCGATAGTTTTTAAGAGAACTTTAAGTTTTTGCAGATCCCCTCTACAAATAGGTAATTGTCCAGGTAATTCTATGAGAGATACTTAGATCTCACAGGTGAGTTGCATAACTTGTCTATTCTTCTATTTTCAGTAGAATACTGATTTGATGCATCCTTCAAAGCCTAAGATTCATCAAAGACTTCACTCTGACTCAATCTTATAACCTCTGAGACAATAATGTTAAAGTCGAATTGAATATGAAATTATGAATTATTCCACTTACCATTGTAATTGAAGAAGCAGGACCAGAGAGCAGATGATTCAATGCTTTGTTCCTTTTCAAGTATTTTATAGATGCCAACTATCTGCTCAGGCTCCATCGTGTCTATATCAACTGCAATCTTATGCCTCTTTAACCTCTAGAAAGCTAAGTATGGGAAAGTTAATTTACGAGTTAGATATTTGATTATTCGGCTGCACATAATTATGATAGCATGCTTTCTTATATTTCAAAGTCAAAGGAGAATTCTGCCTTCCATTGTGATCAGCAAAAGCTGCCTGCATCACTTTTGATTGTTGATTGGGAGAAAGTATAGTAGAACCCATACTGTTAACTGACCGATTAAGCTTTTCTCTAAGGGCAAGGGTCTTCTTTAGCTGGTCTTGGTTGTTTGTTTTGACTTTTATTTCGCTACTGGTCATGTTTGGAATTATATTTATTGAATTATTGAAATGTTTATAATTCGAAGGAATAAATAAAACTTTTAATAATATTTTGGATAATAATCAAAGATGAATCAAAGCAATATGATGATGTCCTTAATGCCAGGGAGTGGTTCCACGGCACTTAAACTTGTCAAGAATACAGAAGTAACCTTTAACCTGACTTGCAGCACGAAGTATGGCGAGAGGGTTGCCTTAATTGGAAGCTTATCACTTCTAGGGCACTGGGATACGACGAGGGCAGTATATCTAGACACAAATCCCCAGATATATCCAGTCTGGACTATAAAGATTGACTTGCCCAGAGATAAAATCATAGAGTACAAGTACTTGGTCATCACTGATATTCCAGGGGTCAATAAACCTTCGAAGCCTAAAATCTAATGGGAAAGTCTCCCTCCTAACATTAATAGAATTATCAACACTCATGGCAAGAAAGAAATAGTGGTCTATGAATCCCTAACTAGCCTTGAGAGCATTGAAGAGTATGTTGAGGTATAGCCGAATAAGAAATAGTTCATGTCAAGCAGCGACAAAGACTCTTTCAAGTTGCAGGACTTAGAGAAAGTACATGTTTAGGATTCTAAGCAAGTGAAATATGAGAAGCGAAGAATTCAAATTGATGAAGAGGATGAGGATGAGGGCTATAGAGATTCGGATAGTATGGTAATAATATTATTATATTCATAATCAATCATAAAGGAAGCGGACGATGAAAGAAGCCATCTATTGAGTGATGCTACTCTCAAGAAAATGGATTAAAAGTACTTAGAACTACAAATTCCAGGAAAGTTACCCCAGGTGTCTTCGCAAAGAGTTCTTGATAGAAAAGCTCTTAATGAACAAAGTATGGGGAGTTTGAGTTCGATTTATAATTAGGCTGATTAGTAGGTTGATCCAAATGAACCCAAAATTATTGTGTCGTTCACTCTACCCTTTCAGATTTAGAGAGACGCTGTAGATAGAACAAAGATAAAAATTGTAGAAACTTATCAGCATCCTGTAAATACTCTTACATACTTAATACTTAAATAGATATTCTTATTTGCTTCTTTAAGGAAAATGACTGAAGATAAGAGGTACAACTTTAAGTGGGTGGGTCTAATTACTGTTTAAGAGGACTTGACCATGGAGGAAAGAACATGGGTCATTGAACAATTAAAGCCTAAACAATGCTATCCCATATTCATTACTCTCAAGGACTTGCTTCTTTATATGAGGTTTTATTAAAACTGTTTAAAAACCATATTCCACAATTTCAAATCTCTCTATGAAGACTTCTCATTAATGGAGAGTCCTGAGTAATGGGCTGAGTACGTAAAAGTTAATATGATGTTTGCTCAGAAGATTATTGAATTAAGATCCGTTTTTGCCTCTTAAAATCTCAAATAGATCTGGATTCATGGTGATCAATTACTTATGGTACCTCTATACGTTAAGAAAAAGTTTGTTGAAGCCAATATCGGGTTCTTCTTTCACACTCCTTTTCCATCTTCTGGAATATTCCGGATGTTTCAAAATAGAATTGAAATCCTTAACTCACTGCTGCACTGTGATTTAGTTGGATTCCATTTGTTTGAGTATGCTAGAAACTTCCTTATGACTAGCCACAGAATGCTAGGACTTGAGTATGAATTCATTCGAGGAGGCTATCTAGCCATTAATAACCATGGTAAAAATGTAATGATCAGAGTCAGTCACATTGGTATTGATGAGGATTTCTTCGAGAATTTATTGAAATCTAAAAACTACCGCAAGCAAGTCAAGCTATTGAAAATGTAGTTTGACTAGATCAAATCATTATATAAGGATTCCTAGCCAATAATTATTTCATCCATCAACTCCTGCCATCCTATCTCTGGAGTTTAAAATAAACTTATAGCCTATTAAGAATTCCTGAGAAAATATCCTAACTACCGAAACAAACTTTGCCTCATTCAATACTCAACTCCAAATGTCTCACATTATGAGTCAAAGTCTTAGCACATTGCTGAAAAATATTAGAGTAAAATAGAAATTCTAGACAACTATAGAACGAAAGTAAAAGAAATTGTGGATTAGATTCACAAGGAATTCGGTCTTTAGACTTTATTTTACTATGAAGATAATCCTAGTTTAGAGAAAAGATTAGCACTCTGGTCTCAAACCAATATATTGATGGTCTCTAATCTAAAAGATGGACTCTGCTTGCCTCCTTTGGAATATACTATAACCAAGAAGTTCACAAATAAATTTGACTCCTCTTTGATGCTAATTTCTGAATTTAGTGGAGCAAATAGAGCATTTACAGGCTTCTTAGAATTCAACCCATTCAATGTAATAGAAAGTTGCTATATTAAATTTTATATAGATATCTGAGTTCTTGATGAGACTAGACTAGGGACTTAGCATGACTGCCTAAGAAAAAGGCGACCTTATGAAGCAAGCCTATGCATATGTACAAAAAACCTCTACCTCTAAATGGGTGGACTCTTTTCTTAAAGATCTTAAATATGCCTATAAACCATCTTCTGTCAGTTATTACCTGGGTGATCAGAATATTGCCCTAGAAATGAATCTAAGGGTCATTCATGCAAAGAGTGAACTAAGAAAGTTAAATATCTTTGATTGTGATAGTTATTTTTCTGGTTCAAAGAAATGTGTGATATTTATAGATCATGAGGCAATACCTACTGTGGACTATGCTTAAGATGCTATGAGACCGATAAAGTAGACTCTTGAAGACCTTGAAGAAATAGCACTCGACAGTAGAAACACTGTTATTATCTTTAGCAATCAAGGGCAAGTGTAAATGTCTGAGTATTTCGATTTGAAGAATAGTAATATCTGGTTTGTAGCAGAGAGCGGATACCTCTATAAAACAGGGCCAGGTAGTGACTGGTAGTAGCTGATTGAACTTTCGAAGAAAGTATGGGTAAGCAGCATCTACGATTTAATGCAAATCTACACTTAAAACGTTGATGGCTCAATAGTGGAGGAACGCTAGAGTACTTTAGTTTGGAATTATAAAAATGCCGAGGAAGAATAAGGCAATATAGTAGCAAAGGAACTATATGGTCAGATCAAGGCTTTGCTAGGCAATGCACCGGTTGAAATAGTATAAGGCAAAGGGTATCTTGAGGTTAAGCCTGTTAAACTTAAAAAGGTATTTAAATTTATAAGCTTATTAATTATAGCAAAAATTGGTGAAGAGGCTATTAGAAAAAGCTTCTTAAGGAATGAAGATTGATTATCTCCTGTACATTGGCACTGATACTGGAAATGAAATAGTTTATACTTTCCTTAAGTCTAAGCGAGCTGATCATTATTTCAATTAGAATGACTCTAAGAAATACATCTGTACTCTCGGGAAGAAACCTTCTTGCGCACAGAATTATGTTGACGACGTTGAGGAAGTCAAGATTTTACTAAATAAATTAAGACACTCTACTCAAAAGAGAAAGAAAACTAGATCATATGCAGACTTGAAATCAATAGTGCCTCTTGACAAAGAACAAGCAGCCAGTAAAATAACTAGAGTTGACAGATCCAGCAACAATGTAAGTATTAGACAGACATTTTATCATGATTTATAGTTATTTTCACTCTTCCATCACTAAATGGATGACGATGAAAACATTGATGAAGAATTTTCTGATGAAGACATGCAAATTTCGCCGAGTAGAGAGTAGTTAGACATGAATATAGAAGTAGACATTTTAGATACTTCCGAAAAAGAACTTAAAAAGAGAGTTTCTGTTAATGAACAACAATTTTCTAAGGAACTTAACCTAGGTGGGCTTAAAGCAGATGGAAAATTAAATGAGAATCTTAGATAGAGGACTAATTCCTCTTAATGGGCAGAACTATTGCCTAAAACCAAAACCCCTCGGAGACAAGTAAAATGAAGTAGAGACTAAAAATAAGTAGTACCATAAATTGATGAATATGCTAACACTGAATTAAATATTTATCCAGTTGTTATTTAAATAGATAGCATTTTAGCTGTTAGGGGTTTTGGGGTTTTGGGGTTTTGGGGTTTTGGGG